TAGTCCTTTTGTAAGAGCATTTGAAAATAATGGCATGTCCAGGTTGATGTAGAAGTTGAGGATTTCCTTTGAGACAGCTCTGCCATGATTTGTAGATGTGGGATGCTTCACAGTAATATGAGTCATCTGGTTTTGCCAGAACATGAAATTCCAAGAATGGAAGAAAAATAGGACATCTTTGCACGTAAATATCTTCCTTCTAGGGTAGTATCTCTTTAGAGTGAATTGCCTTTTGCCCTAAAGCATCCTATTGTGGTCTCGAGTAAGGACTGTTCATTCTTTTTTTTTTAAGTCTTCAATGTTTCTTCTTTATCTCCTGCTAAAGCTCTGCTATAAATCCTCCCAATAATTCCATTGTCAAAAGTCTCCAGAAAAAAATGATAATAGAGCATATTATATTTACTTTGGCATGATAAATAGTGCTTGCTAAAACTCATATGCTTAATTCTTTTTTAATTACTGTTCTTTCTTTAATCTTCAATTAAAAATGTAAGTACTGAGTAAAAGTGAAACAATAGAAATGGAGAAAAGGGGGGATATGATTTTAAGAAACCAAGAGTTCTCAATTCATGAAGTTACAGTGATTCAGAAAGCAAAGAAGGCAGTCCAGAATCATCATACATTCCCAAGGAATCATAAGTGTTTTCCAGATACTTAGATGTTTACAACCTAGTTTGAGAGGAAGTAAGCAAGTGCTTATAAATAATATAATTGATCTGCTCAACAGATATACCTTGCTGACTAAATGTCACGGACTGGGGTTCAGAAGATATTTTATTGTTTTTCTCACATAAAAATGTAACATATGGAGAGAAATAATATAAACAGCAATACCTATAAACAATTTAAATGAAATGATATACAAATGCGATGAAGTGCATTGATTAGGGGAAATTGATTGATTAGGGGAAATTGATTTGAGAAAATCTGAGTAGTGTGAGTAAAGTCTAACTTACTGATGTAGAAATGTGATGAGAAGAAAAAAACTAAAGAGTTAAGACAAATTGGTCAAATGATAGCTGTAAAGAGCAACAAAATGCTTGAATTAATATGCTAAAGATAATAAAAAGTATTGTGAATGATGCTGGACACCTGCAGCGAGCTAGAATATAAAGCAAAGTAATTAAAGACCAGGAAAGTTGCCCACCTTTAAAATAGGCTTAACCACAGAACTAGCCAGCTTTTTCAATGAAGATTTTCATTAAGTCTATGGCTGGAGAATATTTCAGGTGAGTGGGAAAGTATGAGTTAAGGAAAGCAAACGAGGGCATCATAATGATTCACATTCATTCTTACTCTTTATGGGCTTCACTTATGTGCTAAATTGGCAGTAACAAGGAGAAAAGATATATGCAAAGTAGTGCATGCAAATGTATGTGCTATATTTTCCAGAAAATCATAACCAACAGGTGAGAGAAAAGTGTGGGGCATCTGTGGTGTGGTTGTAAGATCCCATCTTTGGGGTTGCTTCCTCCATCTCGTTTGATTTACTTCATGGAGAAATACATATTTCTGCCATGTATATTCAGAATTGCTGGCCCAGACTGAGCAGTATCTGTCAAAATACTGGACTCAAACTGGAAGGAAAGCAAGGTACCTCCCCTCCCTCCCTCCCTTTCTCTCTCTCTTGTTTTGGAATCTGAAACTAGGATACTCAATTCTCTTGTTGTTAAACATTAATTCTCCAGTCCTTCAGTCTTCAGACTGCTGGACTTGCATCAATGACCCCTTAAGTGTTCATCACCTTGATATTGGTCTAGTTTGAGCCCTGTTCCTAGCATCCAAGTCTCTAGAGCATCCAGGAGGTGTCTCAGGGGATTTTCAACTTCTGCAATTACAAGAGACAAGTGTCTTAATAAATCTTAACTGTCTGTCTCTGTCTGTTTGTCTATGTCTCCAATGCTATGGTAAATTACTTGAGATAAACAGCTTATAAGGATAAGATCAACAGCTAAATATTTCTAGATTTAGTTTGGATAATGATTTCACAAGTTTCAGTCCATAACTGTTTTGGTCCTGTAACAGAGGACACAAAGAAAGCTCTGTGTGTGTGTATGTGAGAGAGAGAGAAAGAGAGAGAGAGAGAGAGAGAGAGAGAGAGAGAGAGAGAGAGGGAGAGAGGGAGAGAGACAGACAGACAGTCAGAGACAGAGACAGAGTCAGAGACAGAGACAGACAGACAGACAGAGACAGACAGAGACAGAGACAGAGAGACAGAGAGAGGACACTGGCTTAAAAATATGTCCTCATCTTCACATTCTACAAAATGGGACACAACACAACCCAAGATCAAGGTAAGACTGATACTGGATCCTAGTATATCACTGGATGAACCCTCAAGCAAAGCCTCCAACCCAAGTTGTCACAAAGCTTAAATCTTACTATATAGGAAATGAACTAGTGAAAGGTCAACATCAACACATTTTTGCTAATAAAGGCCAAGCTTCTCTTACATAGGAATGTAACACACTTGCTGTTCAGTTACTTTGGATAACCTGAAAATAGCAAATTTGTAGCTAGAAACCTGAGGTTTACTATGTACTGATTTGAACCTTTTTATTTCCCAATTCAGTTGGGTGTAGACCTTTAGACATTCTATATCTCTACCAACTTGTTAAAAGTAGAAATTTATATTTCTTTGCATGATGAAAATCATTGATCATATCAAAGTTTTGTCATGAAAAGTCTAGCACTTCTCCTTATCCTGCCATGTGTGAATAATGGGTATTGAAATTTCTGTCTTCCTTTCTGATGTCTCTTTTGCTAAAATTCTATGTGTGAAATACCATCATACCTAGTTTCTTTCATCTACTTTAAAAAGGCAAAAAATGTCAAAAGCTATGTACATATGACCATACAAGATAATGTTAAGTGAAATGAACCCCAACATAGGGACATAAGAGGTTTTATCTTTCTTGCTATTGTTTTTAATGTATCTAAAATATACCATGTGATTTTTTTTGTTTCTCTTGTATGTGTTTCCCCAGGGTATTACTCCTGTTTTCACTATATTTGATGTCGCTGGTTTGCATCTTGTATATATATTTTTTTTTTCTAATTTGGGGATGGGAAGGGAAATAACAAAATGCTGAAATAAGGATAGAGTTTGACCCATTGTAACAATGAGATGTACAAGACACTGTGTAGAAAACAAACTTTACAACTTGGTAGGGAAGGGGCAGTTGGGAAGGTGGGGAGGGAAGAGATGATAGGGGAAAAGCAAAGGAGGGGGTAACAATGCTCGATAGGAAATGTACTCATTATCTTACTCATGTAACTGTAACCCCTCTGTACAGTTATTACAATAAAAAAACAAAAAAAGTAGATGACATTTGTAAATAGCTCTCTGGATATGGTATGAACAGCATTGTACATAGGTAGGTTTCTACTTCTGATGTAAAATGTGGAAGTGATACTCAGATATGCCCCTGTATATAACATTATTAAATGCAAAGCTAATTTCTCTAAAGGAAATCCATTTTTCCTCCTCTGTTCGTTTTTCCAATACTTACCTCAAATTTTCCCTTTTCCTAATTATCAACAGGTACTTGCTGATGTTTATCACCCATAGCACATGGTGGCAACTCAGAGAAAAATTACAAGCAATAACATGCCCTAGTATAATTTCAAGGATGTATCATACACTCACTACGTCTTACTTTTGCTTTCCTTCCACTTCCAAGATCAATTTTCCAACCAATCATAATTCATGAAGAGTTAGGTGTGTATTATGTAATTTTCTTAAAAGAGTTGTTAGAATAAATATATTAGGCATTTACAATCTAAAAATACAATTTATTATGTTTTATGTGATGGTTAAGTGTCTCTAATGGAAAAACATTTATTTTATAAAATGTTAATGAAACACTTCATGTATCTCTGTCGTGAATAGTAGATTCGGTAGTGGAAAAAAAACCCTGCCTGTTGAAATGCACTAAAAGCAAGTACATGGCAATCTTTCCTTACTTCTCTCCTTCTTTAGTTTTCCTTTTATCAATAGTAGGCTCTAGTTTCCATAGTTTTTTTCTCCTTCAATAATCAAAGGATTTGATTAATCAAGATGCATTCTATTCATAATCTCACTTTTGGAATGGAAACCTTTTGGTACAACTACTTAATTTTTTAAATCACATTTGAGATGTTACCATGGTAATGAAAAGCTGGAGTAAAGGCAAACTATGAACCTCCACATTTGTTCACTTTCCTTCGTATGGCTGAATGCGCTGCCCTTTCCAAACTAGAGCTTGTTTGCTGTCAAACATAAGAAATGTGCCCCTTTCAGATCCCCACACCCACTCTTATACAATCTAATGTATCATCCCCACGGAGTCCAATTCCCAAGAAGCCAGATTCATGTTCTGCTCTCATGAAAATGGATTCCTCTTGTTTCCTGCACAGGTAAAAGTTTTGAGATGACTGTGGAAAGATGAAGCCAAAACTTCTCTCCCTGAGGCATTACTTTGTAATAAAGGCTGAAGATCTTCTATTCAGCTGGCCCTGATGTTTCTTGCCTTTAATCCTAGCTACTAAAGAGGCTGGGATCTGAGGATTGTGGTTCCAAAGAAGCCCAGGCAAAAAGATCCATAAGACTCTTATATACCGTTAACCACCAAAATGCTGAAGTGGAGCTTTAATTCAAGTAGTAGGTAGAATGATAGCTTAGGGCAAATATAAAGAAAGAATAAAGAAAAAAAAAAGCTCAAGGACAGCACATAGGCCCTGAGTACAAGTTCCAGGAACCCCTCCCCCTGAGATTGTACATTTAATTTACATTCAATAGATAAAATTTCTTCTGCCTTTATCAGAAAAAAGTACCAACAAAAAATATTTTCTTCCTGTGACTGGTTGTGTTTAATAACATGAACTTTTTCTTGAGTTTAATGGCTTGCCTTGTAACAAAAGTAGATATTGAAACAGTGGTTCAAAGAGAATGCAATTAAAATTTAATTTTACAAACAAAAGAAATGTCATTTTAGAAAAAATAATAATTTTATGTCACATTAATTTTTAGATAGCAAGAGAAGAGTTTATTCTGTGATTTATATCACACAGACTTTTTCCTTGAAAAAGAGCCTTTAAAAAATGCCAAGGTCAAAGTACCAAAAAGTAATCAAATGAAGAACATCATAGGTAAAACCTGCCAACTGTAATAGAAATATAAGTATAATTACACTCAGGAAAGAGATATTGTCAACAAAGAAAATATGCCTTAAAAATTCTTGGTGCCATTAGAAACTGATGGACATGAGTGAGATCTAATATCATTATGTTTAGAAATGGCTTCATCCAAATCCAGCTGTACACCATTGATGTTCACTTCCATGCAGCCATGATAGAATGCATTTACTGGTGTGGCATTAAAAGGAATGTCTGCAAAAAGAGAAAATTTCACTGTTATCCCAAGTCTTTCAGAAGCACACTAATTGCCTACTATTATAGTAGGAAGCCAGAGATTGAACCAAATTTAACCAAATCCTAATGGAGAAGTTCATAGTGAGATTATATTTAATGAATATGTATTGTCAGTAATTATACATATGATACTATGTATAGAAATATCATATTCTTGTTATGTTCCACATTTATTATAAAGGTAATAATATTTATTGTTTTCTCTTTTAAAGTTGAGTAACAGACTAAGCAATGTTAAATCATGTATCCCGCTCTGAATTATAACTACTTGGATGAGTTGTGATAATTACAGCTTTTTATTATTTTTCCATATTACTTTTTAAAATTACTTTATTATTTATTTTATTACTTAAAAGTAGATTTTTGTATTTTTCCTGAGAAGTTGTTTCTTGTTAAACATATAATGGCACGTCACAATTAACAATTCAGTTTTATGTAATAATAATATTTTCTTTTAAAAATAATTTTAAATACTCTTCAGTGAATAGATAAAGATCATAGTAGGGCCCTTAGAATTTGCTACACTTTGACTCTTGTAATCAACTTGACTCATCTATATCATCTTCAAGAATGCCAGCTCCGTCCAATTGTGTCCACATATGGACAGTGTTAATGATAAATACTCTAATCTCACTTCTACCACTTAATTAAATTCACCTGATCCTTCACATATTCTCACCTTCAGAGAAATTGTTTTTGCAACAATTAAGTCAAGTCCTCATTTTGGAGAAAATCATCCAAAGAAGTGATAACAATTATCATTATTTTAATATTTTTCAAACAATTTATTATATACCTCTGATTGTAAAAGTCTTAACAGCAAAACCCATATGCATTTATCTTATTGCTTTATCCTGAGTATGTGGAATACATGTTCTAAATAAATACTAAAAAATGATAAATGCATTAGTTTTGGTTTAATTTATTTTTAAACTCAAATAAAAATGTATCAACTAAATGTAGGTACAAACATCCAGAAAAAGAATAATGGGTATTGGAATTTTTGTCTTCCCTTCTGATGCCTTTTTTGCTAAAATTCTAAGGTTAAAACACCATCAATTGTGTTAAAAATAAATTGTGAAAACTCAAGAAAATATCATCAGATACCTGGAAGACCACCCAAGTAAGTGGTCACTGTACCCTTCATTGCTTTGTCTAAGATAGCAAGTTGCTTTTGAAGGTCTTCAGAGTAGATGGTATCTTTTTTATGTGGATTCCACAGCTCCAGACTGTTTTTGTTGACTTGGAATTTCAGATAAGATGGTTGACCAGAACAAAGAGTTGTAGCCTCAATTCTAGATACTACCACATTTTCAACAGACACCAGAATATCCTAGAGAGATATAAAAGGTTTTCAGTCACCACATCCTTCAATTCCCCCTTTCAAAACTTCACCTCTCAGAAATAAGGAAAAAAATAGTAATCATGGACCTTTATTTAACTCTGAAGATCATGCTTTAGTTTGAGCCAAACATATAGGTTATGTCATTGGTCATGTGCCTTTTTACAACCATTTCAAGGAGAAAATGAAGGAGAAAAAGAGATGAAGTAAAAGAAAGGATCATTCAGGTTTAAAGATACCTGAGAATTTTCAGACCTAGAGTCCACCAAGGACAAGGCAAAGGGCACTGTGTTTCCAGAAACCAGGGCAAGCATCACGCCAGTGCCCGAAGATGGACGAATATTCAAGCTCACATTTATTTGCCAAACCAAAGCATTTGTTATGTTACCTGTTTAAAACAATGAAACAAGGCAAGATGAATGTACTCCTAAATGCACCAGAAAAACAAAAACAGTTATTATAATCTAATGCATTACAGCTTATATAACTTTCAATGCCCCTTTATCAACAAGCTATATATCCTAGGCAAAATAAAGCATGGTTTTTAAATGTGGCCAATAAACATAATCACAATTAGATTTCCCCCTGCACTTTTATTCTTCCAGATAAGAATTGTGAATTGTTGTATTAAGAATTGTTATAAATTTGTCCTGATTGTTCTTTTTCAGACATAGCTTCTATCTCACATATTGACCAATATTCAAACCTCAGAGTAGCTCAAAATTAAAATACACATTTAGAAAGAAATTCAACAGATTTATTGTAAATTTCTTGGGGAAAAATTTTGAGTGTAGCAGCCATCATCACCCCACCATTCCTTCTTCTAAAACAATGGTAAGGAAAATATGATTTATGCACATGGAGGAGACAGATGGTTTGGTAGTAAAAACTAAGTCAACAATTGATTTTGAAAGTAAGCTGCTAATTCTTGTATTTTGTCACCATCCTGTCTTAACACTTCACCTCTTATTTCGTAGGTTAATTATCTTCCAGAGTAAGGGGCCAACCACAGAGAACACAATGCACTTTAAAATAAGTCAATTGAAACTACTCAAAATGAATTAAGCTATATTCCAATAAACTTTAAGAGCAAAAAGCATATTCAACTGTTTTTATTTACCTAATATACCAGAATGTTTTTATAAAAAATACATAGCAGTACACATAAGACTATGTTTCGTATAATAGGTACTCAGTAATGTTTATTGAATAAATTATCTCTGCTCATCAAGAAATGCTTTAGTCATTGAGGAGACAAGAGAAAAATAAAATGGGCAATCACTTACTGTAATCTATGCTAAATTGAGCAACTCCAGATCCAGGATAGTAAGAGCCCTTTTCCACAGTGACAAGGCAATGCTTATTTTGTTTTCCTTGAATAATTTCCTTTGCTCCTAAAGCACCTTGCTTCAATAAATTCCATCCTCGTATACATCCATCCATACGTGGGTTAATCTAACAAATTAAAATTAGGTCAAGGAGTACATTTTAAATTGAAATCAGACCAATAAATAACTTCATTGATTCTAGGTATAGGTTTCATTTGGATGGAAAGCCCTTTGTTTGGTGACTTGAAAATATCATAAATATTTTGACTTTAACCTATTATTTGACCTTTTTGAAGTATACTTTAGATAGATAGTATTTCCCAATAAATATGAACTTAAGCTATCTCAGGACTCCACTAGAATTCCAATGACTTTTAACTTCTTCTGTCCTACCTGCATCTCCGATGTTATCTATATCTAACAATAAATTCTCTTTTTTTTGTTAATATGCTGTGCATAAATTTTATGTATGTTATTTTCTGGCAAACTGAAAAGGCATGTACTTTAGTGATGACTTCCATTGTTATAATACTTACAGTTTTATTGTCTTTTTATTGAAAATGTGATGTACAGAGGGGTTACAGTTACATAAGTAAGGAAATGCATACAATTCTTGTCAAACAGTGTTAACCTCCACCCTTGTTTTCTCCAGCTTGTAGCAATGAATTCTCTGAGTGTTTCTGGCTCAGGCTTTATTTGCCTGAGCAACTAGCTACTTTCTGGTTTTCTTTATGGAACTTTGCAACAACTTTATCTTGCTAATCCACACTATAAAAACTTGCATTCAGCCTTCACCTAAGTGGCAGTCTGATTTAAGATTTGTGGTAGTCATTTCATATATGGCTGTTTTTTAATAATTTATTTTACTTTAAGAATGTCTTAATTCTTTTTTTGGGGGGGGTCTGGTCATGGGGCCTGAACTCTGGGCCTGGTTGCTGTCCCTCAGCTCTTCAGCTTAAGACTAGGGCTCTACCACTTGAGCCACAGCGCCACTTCTGGCTTTTTTCTTTTTGCTTATGTGGTGCTGAGGAATCAAACCCAGGGCCTCAGGCATGTAAGGCAAGCGCTCTACCACTGAGCCACCTTCCCAGCCCCAAGAATGTCTTAATTTTTCTGCCTCAATGCTCAAATATATAAACCAGGTCTGGGGTCAGTATCTAATACTTGTAATCCTAGCTACTCAGGATGCTGAGATCTGAGGATCGAGGTTTGAAGCCAGCCCAGGCATGAAATTCCGTGAGATTCTTATCTTCAAGTAACCACCAGAAAACCACAAATGGTTCTGTGGCTCAAAGTGGTAGAGCACTAGTCTTTAGTGAAAAAGCTTAGAGATAGTGCTCAGGCCTTGATTTCATACCCCAGGACCAACAAAAAAAGAAGAAACAAAAGGACAACTCTATTTATTTTGACATGGTTTAACTAATTCAGATTTAATACAATTTAAAATAAATTATGAAAGGTGAATATAAAGTAATACAACTGAATGTTAAATGAACAAGCTCATTCAGCAGGCCCATGATAGTCAGTTTCCTTCAAGAAACCTTTTTGAAAAACCATTTAAAAATCATGTTATATCTGTTTTATAAATTCCATCTCAATCTCTAATTTTAGAACTAAAATTGAATTGAGAAAGATACTTTCTTGGTTTCTGCAATACAGTATTATTTTGGATATAAAGTATGTATTCATCTATTTAATGGCCAAACATGACTATTATAATGTGAGTACTAAAATGACCCTTGTGAGTTTTTTTAAAGTCCACTTCTCTTGTGTAATGCTGAGGATTTAAATACACACACACACACACACACACACACACATCATTTTCCTCATTTCCCCATTATAATTTCCAGGATTGCTAAATTTATGTTTCCATGTTTAATTCACATGGTCATACTTGATCTGTTTAACAAAATATGCCTATGGACTTTCAAGGAAAGCACATCTTCAAACACATCTTCAAAAATGAACTCACTCATGATCAGTGATATATGTTTTGATTGTTACCTGTTTAATGAGTAGATTTTCCACATTCCGAGGTAATCCTGCAAAATATATTTTGGTTTCCAAAAACCCTTCTGTAGGTTTAAAAAGGCTTCCAATTTTATTTATATTCATCACAGCTTCTTTAGCTATTTTAATGCTAATACGATCTTCTAATTCTTCCACAGACACCTACAATTATCAAAATTAAAATGTCCATATAACCAAACATCATTATGTATCATTGGAAATACTGGATTGAAAAATCTCTCATTTATACTCATGTGCTAAGAATTTTTGGAGCTACAATGTATTAATGAACCATCAATATTACAACAAATAAAAATGTAATGTAGTTATGATAAAAGATATAATGTGAGAAAAGAAATTCTTTTTTGTATCATTAAAAACTTTGTATGTCCTTCCCCCACAGTATAACCCGTGCTTTCACTATATTTGATGTCGGTATAATTTGTGGAGGGGAAGGGGAAAAACAAGTCGTTTAACTAGGGATACAGGTGGACCCATTGCAACAATGAGAAGTACAAGTCCTTACGTCGAAAACGAACTTTACAACTTTGGTGGGGGCGGGGCGGGGAGTATTGGGTGGCTGGAATGGGGGATTATGGGAAGGGATGGGAAGAGGAAACAAAGGAGGAGGCTACAATGCTTGATAAGAAATGTACTCATTATCTTGCCCATGTAATTGTAACCCCTCTGTACAGTATTTTCACAATAAAAAATTAAAATTAAAAAAAATCTTGATAAGCTATTAAAATACTGAATTGACAACTTACAAAATAGAGACAGCACTATACTTAGCATGTTAGTTATTTCACTTGTCTTTATGTGAAACTGTCTTTAATTTTATTTTTATATAATCATTTTATAGAAATAGGTTTTAATTAAAACATGAATATGCTATTAAACAATAGTTCAACAAGGTCCATAAACACTGGAGATTAAAAACCTATGGAACTGCTGGAAGCCAGTGGTTCACACTTGTAATCCTAGCTACTCAGGATGCTGAGATCTGAGGATCTCAATACAAGGCCAGCACAGACAAGTAAAGTCCTATCTCCAATAACCCACCAGAAAACCAGAAGCATTGCTGTGGCTCAAGTGATAGAGTGCTAGCCTTGAGCTGAAGAGCTAAGGGACAATACCCAGGCCCAGAGTTCAAGTCCCATGACCAAGGGGAAAAAAAAACCAGCTATGAAACTGAGTGGCTGACATTCAGCTCATATAGGTTCTCTCCATTGAGAGCATCAGAGACAATTATATTACCTTACAGGTAAAATTATACCTTTGCCTTTATCTAAATGTATACCTTTGTATTATCCAAATTTAACCAAATTATTCTTAAAATAGATGATAATATTCTTGGGTTAAAATTTTAATTTTTCTCTCTTGCTGAAGAAGGTGATTTTATGAGTAGTTATTCAAGGACACTGACTGGACAGTAAAATGTGTTCTTCAGTACATTTAGGGAATGGTTGTACAAATCAGATAATATAGATGTAGGGGAAATATGTGATAGCAAATCTACACTGATGAAAACATCAGTTAAAGTCAGAGATGTTGAATGATTTCTTAGATTGGTTCTATGCTGATAATATTTGAATATTGTTATATCTGGCTGTAGTCATTTGCTGAGGTTAGAAGTCTAAAATCTAGTAACAGCCCAAAGACAGCTCCCCAAAGTGGCCACATCTCCAATTAAGAGTCACACCTCTGCTGTAATGTTATATCATGTTACATCATGAGTAGCATCAGTTACTAACTTCATAGTTTTGTGTTCAAGAATAAGTAGAATGCCTGACTGTAATTCTAGTAGAAGCTTACAGAAAAAGTGAGTGCTTGAGTAAATAAATGACAGGAGGAAATGATGGGGCCTCTCAACAGACTCTTGCCAGTTCCCATAATCATGGTCCCTTTCGGGTACCAAATTTTAAGAGCAAGTGGTTCCTCTCTCAGTTACACTATGCTGAACCTAGCAATGACTCTCCAATACGGATAAACTGTAATCTCTTCTCTGGAAAAAAGAGCCATTTAATCCAGGTGATTGAAGAGATGATCTCAGCTAATAAAATGAAAGCAATTAGTAGCACTATCTTAAAGATGTTAGCTTTAAGTTCTCTGTTTTGTATCTACTACTATAAACTGTTTGGACAAAACTGATTACTTTTCTATATATTTATATTTAAAAATAAATTGGCATTTTTATTTTTGTGACTGTATTATTTCTCTGTAATTAAAAAAAGTATGAGAGTAGTTTTCCATGATCAGTTAAGGTCTTTACACAAACTCATATGCCTGCTAATTGTGATTCCTGACCTGCCTGAGAGATACCATTGCTCACTTAATGACAGCCATTAAGAAAGGCAAAAAGTTAAAAGACAGAAGACTTCAAATAAGTAACAGAAAAAATTACTTACAGGACACCCTAAATATACTAGATGAGGATAACAATTCTAGGCTATCTCATGGATTTGTAATATGTGGAAAATGTAGGATATACTTCATAAAGTATTAGATAGCCCAACCCATTTTAGTTGGCTGTCACTATAAGAAAAAAAAATCTCAATTTTAGACACACTGCATCAAAGTGAGAAGATCTTTATGAAATCTGTAAAACATACCATATTCCAAAGGCCATTATTAATAACGTTGCCTCCCGATGTTATTTGGGTTGCATATTCATTCTTAAATTGCACTTCAATTTTTCCCTCACGGAGTGCAATCAGGAGCCATGCAGAATGATCAAGAGATTCTGCAAACAATATGATGCCTTCTGAATCATATGTCCGGAAATCAAATTCTGCTGAAAATCTAAACAATGGACAAAGGGAAGTCTTTAATAATAAGGAAAATGAAAGGATTAATGTATTATCTTTTTTCTTGTATTGCCAGGCAGTAATATACTGAGTCAATTATCTACTTCATTCTCTGGAGTTAATAAAAGAGAAGGGCAGATTTAGGCTGCTCATGTGTTGCTTTCCAGTTCCATGTGTGTTTAAAATCTGGTTATCATATTTTTTTTTGCTTATTGTTTGAGTCTTTTTTCCCTTGATGACCAGCTGCTTTGGTAATTTTTCATCTTTTTTGGCATATGTTGGAAAGCATCTTTCAAATGTTGGAATTAATACACATCTGTAAGTATTTGATATATTGTATCTCCCCTGGAACCTTTTATACACTATAACATCTGAACTTAGGATGTGTGTGTGTGTGTGTGTGTGTGTGTGTGTGTGTGTGTGCGTGTGCATGTGCATGGGTTCTGTATTCATAAATGATTAGTAAAAGATGTCACCATTTCATGATTGGCTGATCCATCAAAAGATGTACTTTATGATTTCATATATGTCGAGTGGATCATTCACAAAGCACTGTTGGGATAGCATCTTATGAATGCAAATATAATGAACTTTCATGTGTGCTAAAGATGATAAAATAAAAAAAAATAAAACCCATTGGCCAGCAATCCTTGAAGAGCAGCAGCCATGGCTTTGCCCTATGCCATGCCTGTGGGGCTAAGTTGAGCCACACAGTTCCCAAGAATGTGATCAAGCAGAGGGACAGCCACACCCATGAGTACCTCACCAAGCACACAAATTTGGTGCTGGGAACACACAGAGTCCAAGGAAGCAAGAAAAGCTGACCAATGTTTGTACATGGCAGGAAGAAAATGTCTCTCAAGAAGGTCTGAATCCCCCCTCCTCTCAATGCATAATAAAACTTTCATAGCAATAGTCCCTATTGCATGTAATCCTAGCTACTCAGGTGGCTGAGATCTGAGAATTGCAATATAATGCCAGCTGGGGCAGGAAAGTCTGTGAGACTATCATCTCCAATTAATCACAGAAAAAGCCTGCAGGAATGCTATGGCTCAAGTGGTAGAGAACTAGCCTTGAGCAAATAGAGTTCAGGGACAGCACCCAAGCCCAAAGTTCAAGCGCCAGGACCAGAACCAAAAGAAGAAAAAAAAACTTTCATAGAAAAAAAAAGAAATATTTTAAAACACAGCTCTACTTTGATTTCAAAAGCACTAATTGAATAAGTAAGTAGAATACTTAAAAGCTGAATGAATTCAGTGTAGCCATATGCTTGGGGTATCAGTAACAGGCAATGTCTGTTGTGATTAAAATTTGAGTCAGAACTTTGGACAATTCTAGTAAGTCAAACAAGAATGCCACACCCTTGCTCCATCATACAATAATTAATGTATTCTTAGTAACAGGGGGCTATTTGTAATGGGGCACAGATCTTCCTCAAAGTGATCAAAGAAGAAGTTACAAAATAAACTTTTCCACCTTCAAATTCCAGAGAAGTATTTGAAAGAGGTAAAATCAGAAGTAAATTATGTTGGACGGGCAATAGGATAGTGGGAATATACTGACCTAAGTGTACATTAAAAAACAAAACAGCCATTTGTTTGGAATTAGGACTCTATAGTCTTTCATAATTATCTTAGCCTTTCACTGAGGCAACATAGGGATTATCTTGCCAAAATTCAAATCTGTGGATGGTCAGGATCTTCCAGAAGTTGATCCTATTATGGAGACAATTTCCTTTCCTTTGGAAAATCATGCTAAAATGATATTTCAAAAAGTTGTGCTCTGCATATTTTGTGTCTGGAATACATCATCTTCTTACTGATTATTACACTGGGGACCAATTCATTCTGTTTCAGAACTATCATAGAGTTGAAAAAAAATGAATTTGTTAACATTTGAGGAGAAAGTATTTGTGGAAAACACAGGTGAAGGAATTTGCTTTAAAAATAAAAAGCACCAGCTGTTCTTTATATTGGTTATAGAGGTAGCACACTTTATAAAAATTCCATATATTTCCATAGATATACTGTATTTCTAGAAAGTATGAACTAATTAAATTATAAAGAGAGCAATAAATTTAGAAAAATAAGCATTTGACCAATTCTGATTCAAGAATTACCAAATAGATATGCACATTTCCTTAAGTATCTGAAGATACAATGTATTTAATATTTTCTTTCCTTATTCTCATTTTTCACTTAGCTGAGAAGGTCTGTAATTAATCACCCACACTGGGAGATATTGTTTGATCTGAGTTGTTTATAAGGAAAAACTAATTCATTTCAAAATTTTATTTCAATATTATTCTAAGAGTCATTAGAAAATGAAGAATAATGGATAAAGCAACATGTTCACTGAGGAAGCTTAGCCTAGAATGATCAGAAAAATACTCTAGTAGGACAACAATTAGAGACATGAAGGAGTAAATTAATGTTAAGATTCTCCCAAATCATCTGGCTGATAATATTTCTAGGTTTTCTTGTTTGGCAATACCAATTCATTACCTTTTGAACCTTTTCAGGTACTTTCCTCTGTCCTTACCTGTTTAACTTCTAGAAACTATCATTCACAGTGCTTCCTCACCTGGTGATATCTGGCAAACGAAATTTTAAATATAAAACAACTCCTGCAAACTGTTCTGCCAAGTAGAGTAATTCATAATTTTTGTCAAGGTTCAATGAAAGGCACACTGGAACAGCCTAGGAAAAGAAATAAGATGTATAAGTTACTGATTGATGCCAGTGTCCAGGTATGCTTCCTTTGCCTGCTTTCTAATAGATCCTCTGAGATTCACTAAAATAAGGTAAGGCTATCTTTAAAGATAATAAATAAAACTTTTTTTCCTTATTTGCATGATCCATTAATATATGCTCCATATGGGAAGGTGGCTCAGTGGTAGAGCCCTTGCCTTGCAAGCCTGAGGCCCTGGGTTCAATACCTCAGCACCACATAAGCAAAAAGAAAAAAAAAGCCGGAAGTGGTGCTGTGGCTCAAGTGGTAGAGTGCTAGCCAGCCTTGAGCTGAAGAGCTGAGGGACAGTGCCCAGGCCCAGAGCTTAGGCCCCACGACCGGAACAAAAAAAAAAAAATTTCATTCAACCTGGGTAGTTTTAGAATTTTTTATTAATGGTTTCACATTTTTATTTATGTTTCCTCAGCATATCCCAGTGTTAAACATACTTTGTTACTTCAGACATCAACATGTATTTCTTTAATAAACTACCAGATATAACGCTTTATCTAAATTATATCCAAAAGTTATTGTTGTTTGTAGTTGGAAATAGAAGAATGAATGTGAACAGCACTGTGTTCACTCGCTCATATATTAAGCAAAAATGTTCTGAGCAAAACTATGCTGTCTAGAAACGCTGGAGGAAATAAATTAGGATATCATATACCAGACGTGGTGATGAACTCCTATAATCCAGTGGGCAAGAGCTAGAAACAGAAGGATCACGAATTTAAGGTAAACCTGGGCTATGTTGTGAGATCCTTTCTGATAGAAAATAATAATAATGATAAAAAAATGAAAAGATTGATGGGAATCTGCTTTGGTCTCGTAACTCAATATTGCTCCCATGGCTTGCCCCACTAACTACCCTTCCCACAGGAGAAATCTCCAGCCCAGTCTCCAGCCCAGAATCCTGATCTAAATATGATAGCCCACTCCCCCACCCACTCAAATGATAGATGCCTGAGCGATCAGGCAAGACACTGGCTCCCCAGGCATAGACCTTTACCATAAACTCAGGAAACACTTTGAACCTTCCAGCTACATGGGACCCTGATCCCCATCCATTACCCCTACTTCAGTCCTTCTACCCCTGTGCCCATTACACCAGGCCTCCTGTCTCTTGACTCTCCTCATGTTACCCAGTTGTCCTTCTTCAACTTTCCTGTTGAGGTTGTTTTCTGCTCTTTCTTTATCCTAATACTTTGAAGCTCAGTTTCCTAACAGAGACATTATCTCAAGGTTCCAAGAAATTTACAGGGGAGTGATTTAAACCCTTCATGTCTTTTATCCAGTATTTGTTTGTTAAAATTGAAAACAAACATTAAAATAGAAAGTTGTTACCATTAAATGGTAAGTTAATGGGCACAGGAAGGGGGTGGGGAATATTAGATAGATAGATAGATAGATAGATAGATAGATAGATAGATAGATAGATAGATAGATAGATAGATAGATAGATTCTAACAAAAAAAGTTCTTTTGATTTATGACCAACTTTACAAGTCCAAAGATGCCTTTCCGCATGACTGAACTTGTCAGCATGGCCTACAGAAAAGTAGACACTAGAAAATGTTTGCACTAAGGTTTCTATGTACATTATCTTTTCACAAATAGGAATATTAATATCAGCTTTCCCTATCTCTTAAGTAAATGTACACTGCATTCTGTAAATAAGTAGACTCCAGATGAGTTTTCTCAAAACTATGATCCTATTAGCCCTTAAAAAAAGTCAATAATTATCTCCTGTGGAGGATAATTAAAGATCAGGACTTATAGCTGGCTTACAACTATAGAAATTCTTGTAGAAAACCTGCATTTTTCTGATTTTCTTCAGCTATATGAAAATAAGTACATGGATTTCTCATTTTGTAAAAGAAGTGAGAAGTTCTGTATTATAAAATGTTTACCTCACAACTCTTCTGATCTTTGCCAAGTTTGAATCTTTTCTTCCCATCACAATAACAAGAGTAGCTTCCAGGATAATTGACACAAAATTGAGCACACATGTTCTCTGAGCATTCATCCACATCTGGAGTAAAAAGAACACAGATATTCGCATGTCCTTCAAATATTCAGTCCATAGACAGAGGATTCATCTCATTTTAGTATTGAATAATCAAAAACAGGAAGGAAATTTATATGACATCATCTTTAAATACTGGACCTAGAATTTTAAATGAGTTAAAATGTATTTTTTACTTATTTACACAATTGAAATAGTTATACTGCTTTTTTGGCTTTCAATTTGAAAGGAAAAATGACTTAGTGCCTTATCTCTCATTCCTGATTATATAAACTTTCATTGAGATTATCTCCCAATTAATTTCTTTGAGGATTGGGTCACAAGGGCATCAACTCTTCACAAGTTAAGTAATACAAGAAAACTCATTGCTTAATGGTTGAAACTTCTGTTTGGGGTACTGAAAATGTTGGGAAAGTGAGAGTTGTGAATATAGTTACTACCATCAAGCTCTACACCGAAAATGGCTTAGAAGGTATATTATGTATTATTGATTTGACTAGCTTTAGCCACAGTATTAAATTCATTTTGAATCTTTAAAATATTTAAACTTGAGTTTTAGGCTAGGTGTAGGGGACAGGACTGTAATCTTAGCACTCAAGAGGCTAAAGCAATGGACAGTGGAGAGTTCAAAGCCAGGCTGGGCAACATAAACATGGTGTTGGGGGAGAGGGAGGAAAGGAGGAAGAGAGGAAACAAGGAAGAGGAGGGGGAAAGGAGGATCGGAGAGGGAGAGAGAGGGGAGGAAAAGGGAGAGGGAGAGAGAAAGAGAGAGTGAGAGGGAGAGAGGAAGAGGGAGATAGAGGAGATGAGCTAATTTGAATACTATGATTAAAGAAACAAAACCATTCAATATTGAAGGTAGTTGAGACACACATGGCAATACCACGACCCTTTATATAGGCCAGGCCACATCTAGACATGCTGACATGATTATCAGTATCTCTCAACTTTCTAGAGCTCAGTTATATCCATTACAACAGATTTTGTTGTTTCCTATTGTCCAATGACTTATAATCACATACAACACGACTGAAAATATTAGAAAAAAACAAATTTAGACCTCATTTTTCTCACATCTATGGTTTTTTCCTATTTTTTATTTTTTATTATGATTAAGTGATTACATAAGTTCCCAAATTTCACAGTATTATGGAATAATGATGCTCATTTAAAGTCACAAGCGCATTCTAACTTTCCTGGAGCAAATTATCTATCATGGTCTATAACATATAATGGTGTACACATATACACCATACATCACATCTATGGTTTAAGCTTGTTTTCCTTCTCAAAGAAAGATTTTCTTAATCTTTGAATGTTACATAAGTTTTGTAAACATACAGTTTCAAATATCTCATTATTGGTATCCTAACAAAACCAGTGATCTTCAATATAACCCAGGGTTTGAAGTCACCCTCTGTACCATTAGCAGTGAAACCAACACCATTTACCTTCACAAGACTTTGATTTAGGATTATATCTGTAGCCTTCGGGACACAGACATTCAAAGTCTCCAGGAGTGTTCTTACACACAGCTGTGCCACAAACACTCGGCTTTGCGGCACATTCATCCACATCTAGAACAAAAACCAATATATTAAAGAACAATTTTATCCTGCCAGAAGATGCTGGCAGGGAACCTTTGTGATTTCAGGATCTAACCTAATACATACATTATATATTAAAGTATTATTTATAATATATACAATGTGAAACAACTGACTACTCTTTTTATAATAAAAAAGCATTAAATCTGTCATCAGAATATAGTTCACTAAACATCATTTTTATGTAAATTCATAGAAAATTTGTATCAAATTTTGATATGAGGTTGATAGAAATTTTCTATGAATTTAATGGATTTAATTCTATCAATGTTGTTATTTGCCAGTCTTTTTTATAGTTTTATTTAAAAAAAAGACAGGGATTTTGTTATACTTACCTAGTAGTTTCAAATATGAAAACATTTTAAATCATATTCTTAAAATACTTCAAATGAGCTTGTAAACACACTTCTGAAATTTGGTCTTAAAAGTGGATTCATTTCTTTTTTTTCTTTCTTTTTTTTTTTTTTTGGGTCCGGTCGTGGGGCCTGAACTCTGGGCCTGGGCAATGTCCCTCAGCTCTTCAGCTCAAGGCTAGCGCTCTACCACTTGAGCCA